TGTTCGCAAGAGAAACAATAAGAATAAAGGCCTATGAACAAGGTTTTCATGATGGCCGAAAAATTGGTATTGACAAGACAAAGGAAAAATTAGTTGAGGATGTCTGTTGGTGCGAAAATCATGGATTTAAGCATGGATGGATCAAGGCACTGTTGGCCGCGGGTATCGATTCGGCGTCACCTCTATATCAGAATTACAAATTTCCCTTCGAGGGTTATGACGTCGAGAAATCCGACGATGAAGAAAGTGCCGAATCGAATTAGATATCAGTATATTATTTGTACTTTTGAATTTCGTCAAAAAGTCATGTATTTGGTTTATTTAATGAAATAAATATCTACTTTATTATTTCGATTCACGTTTGTATCTACTTGTGACAATCGTATATTGATCCATGTCATTTATTGTCAAATTCGGTCGTTCCGAATTCGGAGGCTTATTTGGCCCAAACGTTACATCCACGCAGGGCGCTCCGAATTTGGAGGCTTATTGTCTTGGCCAATCATGATATCCATAAAGGGCGCTCTGAATTCGGAGACTTGTTCGGCCCAAACGTGACATCCACGGAGGGCGCTCTAAATTCGGAGTCTTATTGTCTTGGCCAATCGTGATATCCACGAAGGGTGCTCCGAATTCAGAGTCTTAGGGGATTTCGAAACACGCCCTGATGCTTTTGCGCTACAGGGCGCCGACTGGAGGGGATAGTCCGTTAGTACACCTATGGTATGCCCATGAAAGTAATGCATTAGTTTTCTTGCAGCCATAACGAGAGAAAGGATGAGCTTTTCCATTGGTAGATAACGTGCTTCAGCGTCAGCCATTGCTTTTCTTACATAGTAAACTGGTCGCTGCTCCCTGAGTTCCTCCCTTAAAAGTACAGCATTGACCGCTCGGTTAGATACCACCAGACACAAAATGAGTGGATCACCTGCTGAAGAGGTTTCCAAGAGTGATACTGATTGAAGATAGGTTTTCAAGCCGTCCAAGGCGGCCTGGCACTCAAGAGTCCATTCAAAAGCTTTGCCTTGCCGAAGTGTGTGGAAGAATTGTTGGCAGCGATCTGTGGAATGATTGATAAATCTGTTGAGAGCAGCAGCCATTCCCATTAGCTTCTGAACCTCTTTAACCGACTGAGGAGAGCCAAGTTCTAGAATTGCTATTATCTATTTCGGGTTGGCCGCTATTCCGCGGTGGTTCACAATGTAGCCTAGGAATTTTCTGAATCCGATGCTGAATGCACACTTTGAGGCGTTCAATTTCATTTTGTACTTTCGAAGATTGCCGAATGTATCTACAAAATCGGCTAAGTGGGCGTGCTTTTCCTTAGATTTGACCACCATGTTGTTGATGTATACTTCCATGGTGCGGTCGAGCTGTTCCTTGAACATGGCAGCAACTAGTCTCTTGTAAGTTGCCCCGTATTCTTCAGCCCGAAAGACATGACCTTATAGCAATAGGTTCCTCTCGGGGTGAGGGATGCAGTCTTTTCTTGATCCTTCGGATGCATGACAATTTGATGATAGCCTCTGTAGGCGTCCAAGAAGCTCATGTGTTGATGATGTGCCGTTGCATCTACAAGTTGGTCTATTATGGGAAGGAGAAAACAGTCATTGGGACAAGTTTTGTTTAAATCCGTGAAGTCCACACAAACACGCCAAGATCCATTCTTCTTCTTTACAACGACGGTATTGGACAACCATGTAGGATAGGTTACTTTGCGAATTGCCCCGACCTCCAACAATCGGTTAATCTCTTCAATAACGGCTGAAGCATGCTCCGTTGCTGACTACCGACTTTTCTGAATGATTGGCTTACATTTTGGATCAACGTTTAAGCGGTGCTGGGCCACAAATGGATCCATCCCTGGCATCTCGTATGGTGTCCATGCAAACATGTCGAGGTTTCCAAGTAAGAAGGATGCAAGCCTGTGCCTGTCAACTTCGTTCAAGGAAGTGCCGATCATGAAAAACTTGTCAGGACTCCCATTAATCTCGACCCGATCCAGGTCTTCAGTTGCCTTTTCATTGGGGATCTTCCCAATATCCTCGAGGCTCTCCCGATCTGGTACTTCAATCGAATTCACTTCTAGTTCCTTGGGTCTCCTTGTAGCAGCAACAAGGTAGAATGCCTGTGCCGATTTTTGAGAACCCCAAATTTGTCCAACGCCATACTCAGTCAGAAAATGAAGTAATTGATGGTAAGTGCTCGGCACAGCTTGCATGGTATGCAACGGAGTTTTTCTTATGATGAGATTGTATGGTTAAGGAAGTTTGACAACCAAAAATTCTACGTTTACTGATCTGGTGCCTGCTCGAATTGGTAGTGTGATTTTGCCCAAAAGGATATTTGGGGTTAGCATTGAAGTCGAATAATGGGTAATCAGCCGGCGACAAATCCGAGTTGGTGAATCCGAGTTTAACAAACGTTTTGTAATACATTATTTCCGAAGTGCTTCCCTGATCAATAAGAACACGTTCAATGGTGAATCTGTTCACATGTAACTCAATGACGAGGGTATTGGTGTGGGGGAAAGTTACCCCGACTAAGTCAGTGTCGTCAAAACTAATCCCTCTAGTCTCATGGGGCCGTTTTGCTGGTGTGATCGGCTTATGCAGGCTAGGTTACAACTGAATTGTTTGTATCTCAGTTGAGGACGGCAGACTGTATATCATGTGAATCACACCAAGTGGAGGTGAATCCGGATGTAGGGTTATCGAGTTCGATATTATTCTTTTGGACGTGTTGCGCCAGCCGGCCGTCTTATACCAGTTCCTCCAGGTGGTCCTTCAATGCATAACAACTGTTGGTGTCATGACCATGGTCCTTGTAGTACTCACACCGCTTGTCCCTTCTCTTTGTATCGTGAGGTCCCATTATTTTGGGGGGCCATTTAAAGAACAGAAATTGTTGAACTTTCGACAAAATCTTGCTGACCGACTCTGCTAACTCTGTGTACTTTTTGTCTGAGCGTCTTGTGTGCCTGTTATCCACCTGATATTGTTCATTTAATTGGTGTGAACACTGATCACTCGATCAGCGCGAGTCACGTCTTTTGTCTCGTTTAGCCTGATTCGCATTTCAGGGCTCCTTGATGGCGCGACGCTTATCGATTGAACGGTTCCACGCAGAGCCGTCTTAACGGCTTTCTGTTCGGCTTTGACTCACAGGGCATCGTCTTCTACCTTACAATATTCTTCAAATTTCTTCAATAATGCCCAAACTATTTTTGGGAGCCGTCTGGTCAATGAACTGCGGAGGGGTTTATTAGGATATAATCCTATTTTGAAGGCGGTGATGGCCATGGAGTCATTACAGGCATCGTCTACCAGGTTAAAGCATTCCCAATAGCGTGCCGAATATTCACGAAGGGTTTTTTCTAGTTTAATTTGCATTGCCCAGAGAGAGTTGGCTTGCTTTGGTTGGATTTCATTAGTGATGAATCTTGTCCTGAAGGATTTTTAGAGTTAATGGATGCTTTTAATCGATGTCGGCTCCAGTTTATGGTACCATCTGACGGCCAACGGTCCTAGACTGCTCGGAAACAATCGACACATAAGGGCTTCATCGTCATCATGTAGTGTCATTGCTTGTTTATAATGACGAATATGGTCAGTGGGATCTGATTTTCCGTCATACAGGATGAATGACGGTGCTTTGAACTTCTTGAGTAGCACAGCCTTCGCAATTCGTCGCACAAAAGGGTTATGCTTGTCTTCTTTATTCGAATCATCACTTTTCCTCCCTCGCTTGTGTCGTACATACGGACTTCCTTTGGATGAGGTGGATACATCGGCTCGTCCCTTCTTTCTGGGTTTCGGGGATGGTGAGTCAGAATCACTGTCATTATCGTGTTTCCGAAGTCGATGTCGTCGATCATCCTTCTTTCCTAAAGGTCGACCCTGGTCGTGGCATGCGGCCTACTAGGATTTGGCTAACTCCAGGGCCAACTCCTGGTGCAGGCACTCATTCTTAGCCATCATGTTTTTCAGACACTATTCATTTTGCTTTGCTTGATCCACGATTGTCTGCATTGTCTCTTGCACCGATGTTGAGGGTGAGGTTTGAGCAATTGGGTCAAAGTTCAAGACCCATCGTGCGGTGATATTCTTCAGTCCAAGCATGTTTCTTGGAGTGATGTCATCCCTTAGAGTAATGTCATTAGCGACTATCGGAGGATCATCTGTTACGCCAGCCATAGATGTGCTTGAGTATTCCCACAGACGGCGCCAATTGTGGAGAAGTGGTTTGGAAATACTCCAGTATCCAGTCAGACATTCTTGATCCCTTGATTGCTACCTGAAAAAGGGATGAACACTTCGATCAGGGGTGCCAGAATTTGCACTCCGACGGTCAAGTTAGTACGCTGTCGGGTTTACTTCTATCTCAAGTTATTTGATCTATTCTCACATACCTTTCTTTTGTCGACGTTCCTCTTTTTATATTACCCTTTGGGCCCATGGGTTAGGCCTACCTTTAATCTCGCACTTGATGGCTTTCTCGGCCTTTTGATTGCATGCTGGTTCCTATTCGACTATTCATATGGCCGACTATACTCTATCTTAGATTTTAGCCGAATCGACTAAGGCTGGATGTCTTCAAATTCTTTGACCTTCCTTAACACATCATTATTCGGCCCCACAGAGAATATTAAAAAAAAGTAAAGAATGAAAAAATAATTACAAAAGAATAAAAATTTAAGTAATTTATATATTTAATTATACAAATAAATCTTATACCTTAATTTGTTGCACCACCCTCCATTTTTTTTAAAAAAAATTCTCCTTTTATTTTATTTTTTATTTGGTACTAAAACGGGGCGAAGTCACAAAACAGACCAGAAAAAGGAATCATTTGGTTTTATGAACAACAACAACGTTTCACCCACGAATTCTCAAAAGTCAACTCCATCATCCAATCGCAGTTCGCCACGTGTCAGGAGTCTCGCAGGATCCCCCACACCCCTTGCCTTATAAATAGCATTCACAGGTTGGTTTTACTCTCGCACTCCCCTGCAGCGGTTCCATCCTCACGAGGAGAGAGAGAGAGAGAGATGGGTGTTGGACTTCGACTGTGGTTGTGCTTGTTGTTCTGCTTTGCGATACTCTCTTCTGCCAGAAACACCATTTCTCTCTCAGGTATTTGTATGTATATGCATCTTTCTCAATATAGATCCCTACCTACCCACCTACATGCGATATATATATGTATAATAAACATAGATTAGATATACATAAATGCATTTTAGTTGTTTCTATGGTGATGGTGCAATCGAGTTTTAGGCTCTCTCTCCCCGTTGGATTTTTTTTTTTTGGGGGGGGGGGGGTGTTTGAATCGAAGCAAAATGCGATAGCATTGTAGTGCGTGTCCTGTGCCAGATGTATCATCATCATCAAATGGGTGAATAGAAAGTGCTGCTTCACATGTAAATGAATGCAAATGCAAATGCAAAAGAGAAAACTGCCCTGTTATCTATGTCAGGTTTTTATCAGCAATCCAACGGTGTATTATCGCTTTGGCCACCAGCTACTCTTCTGTCCGAATTGGACGGGAAGGTGCCATTGGGCCGTTGCAAGCCCCATTATAAGCTCATTTTAAGAATTCAAACTGTTTAATGTGTATAACTTCTCGAGTAATCATTTATCAAATATTTTATTCCTGCAAAAAAGTATGTTAATTAGATATCAATAACGATTTGATAAAATTACATTTGTTTAACCATGATTATGATTTTAAAAATAAATCGCAAATACAAATATATGCTGATCGAGTGATTATCGATATTTGATTAATATGATTTTGTATATGAATAATATACTCAACGAAATCTACTCATTCAATAGTTTAGATTATCGAAATGGTTCTGGAATTGGGCCCACCACGGCCCAACAGACCGAAGAGTAGCAGGATTCGCTTTGCTTTTCTTATATTGACTTCTTTTTCTTTTTTTTGATTTTTGATTTTTGTTTTAAGAATTTTAAAATTTAATTCCAGTAAATGCACGTCAACAAGAATTAGGGTGGTAAGCAAGTTAATTGGAACTGAATTTTAAATAATATTTAAATTTCATTGATTTCTCTTTAATCAAGTCAAGTTTTAGGTAATTTGATTTTTTTTTTTTAACACATATAAATGAGTGTGAGCAAAGTATTCAAATTTACATTCGAAACTTAATAAAAATTGCAAATTTTATTCAAATTTAACTCTTTTATATAATGAGTCAAAAACTAGTCAACCTAGAAGTTAAGTTTATTTTTTGTATTATTGTGCCTGTTTTGTTGATGTATGTATTGAAGTCCTTATGATATTGTGGTGGTGGGGGGTGATTTGCAGAGGACAAGGTAGCGATGGTGGTGGAAGCCATGGAAGGAAGGTCTCTGACAATGAATCTTAACGACTACAATGAAGCGTCAGCAAATTCCCAGCACAATCCCAAAACCAAAGGTGGTGGTGGTGGTGGTAGGAAAACCCTTGATTAACCCTAATCCATTACACCGTCTCGGTGTAATCAGTATCAGGCTGTCTACTACACTCGGCAATACAATCCATTTTACTGCTTTATATTATATATATGGTTAGATAAATGTATATGCATTTGGTGATGTATCATCTGTATGGGAGAATGGGATATATCATATGTGGGAGAGCAAGGCTAATATATATATATATTACTTGTAGCTCCATATATTCTAAGCCATTTGTTTTTTATTTTTATTTTTGATGGTGTACTGATATCGATCAATGTGTGCTACGCACAATTTGAGGAATGTAATCTTTGTTTTGTGGTTATTAATTAATCACTTTGTTATATGTGTGTGTGGTTATATATAGTGTGTGTTGACATTGGCATCGACAAATTGATTTCACATTAACAAGGGGCTTTGTTTCGTCAAGTTTTTGAATACTGTTTTTGATATATTTTGTCATCATGCTGTGTTTGGTTGATGGATTTGAGGAGGGATTTGGAAAGGGAAATGAAAAAGGTAGGTGAAATGTGAAAAAAATATACCTACATTTCACATAGTTTCACACACCTTTTCCATTTCCTTTTCTAAATTCCTCTCCAAATCCCTCAACCAAACACAGCATTAATTATTTTGTATTAGTATAAATAAATAACTAGCACATTTGGTGTCCATTTTGTTGCCCACAAGCACTTTTATCTTCGTTTTTTTGATCAACAAAAATAAGCCTTTATTGATGAAAAAAGCAACATACATGCAAGATTTACATCAACAAAGCAGAAAAGTGCAATGAGTATCATAGCTAACCTCAATAATCCCAATTAGGTTGGCACCGCAAAATAAACACAATCATATATTAACACTTGACCCAACATTGGTGAGAGACCAATAAAGAGCAACCAAGGAAAGAAAAAACAAACAACAACATTACGTCAGCAAGGCAACATCACAGTAGCAGGTAAAAAGAATAAACAATATCACACCCAAAGCCAAGAAATAACTCTGCATGTAGAACTAACTCCCCTGTGTCACTCCTTGCTATACACAGTAATAGACCTACTTCAGGTTATAAACAACATCATCCAATGAGTACTTAAACTCTTTCAAAAATAAAGTAGCCCACATTGCAACTCTAACCTTTACTAGCTCATCTAGACTAGCCAAATCTAGTTGTGCCTCATTGAACAAGCACTGATTCCTAAGTTTCCACACTAACCACATTATTTCTAATGGGATTGTCTTCCAAATCTCCTTCACCTTTTTCTTCACTTTTATACCTGACCACCAGTGTAATAGTGTCTCCATTGAACCAAGAATAACCCAACTCAAATTCCACCAATTCACAATAGTGGCCCAGATTCTCCAGATCATAGAACTGTGAAGTAGAACATGGTTCAAAGACTCCACCTTAGATTTACAAAACACACTGAGTGCACTCACATTTGAATTCAACACTCCTATCATTTGCAAAAATTCAGAGGACTTAATCTTACCTCTCTAAGCTAGCCAAGTTAGAAATTGTACTCTGGGAGGGGCTATATTATCCCAAATACTCTTAGTGACTGTAATAGCTGGCCTTTTACATGCTTTCACCCATTTCTAGATTGATGCCACAGTAAAATCTCCAGAGGAATGGGCTAGCCAAGAACAAGAGTCGTCAACCCCGTCAGTTAGCCTAGGTGCATTCTATAATAGGTCTTGTAATTTCAGCACTTCCTCATCTTCCCAAGCAAAGAGAGGCCTTCTAAAAGTTAGATTCCAATCTCTATCCACTCCTCTTCTATGGAAGAAATCAAACAAATTACCATCTTTTTCAACTGACAAAGTGAATAATCTGGGGAATACCACACTAAGATTCTGATTGTTAAACCAGCTATCAACCCAGAACTGCATTCTTCTGCCGTTTCCAATAACTAACTTGAAGTTTTGCAGAAAGAAATCTCTCGAAGTAAGACTTGATAAGCCACTGATAGTATGTCCTGCCATAGAGTAGACATCAACTCTGACTGCCACCCAACCCTCCATACTTACTGCATACCACTGGTTTTCACAAAGTTGTCTTCTCTTTGCCATACCTCCACCACCACTTAATGAATAGGCAATCATTAACCTCACTTAGATTCCTCACACCTAGCCCATCTTGATATTTGCTTAAACAAATCTCTTTCTAACTAACTAAGTGCACTTTTCTTTTGATTTTAGATCCTTCCCAAAGAAAATTAGCTTGAATTCTGTCTAATGATTTTGCAATACCCACTGACATCTTGAAGATGGATAGGAAATAGACTGGCGAACTTGCCAATACTGACTTTATTAGAATTAATATTCCTGCAAAAGACAAATACCTTCTCTTCTATGAAGCTAACTTGCTCTTGAACTTATCCACCATTGGTTTCCGTGTATTCATCCTCCTTGGGTTTGCTCCTAATGGGAACCCCAGATAGTTCATAGGCAACTTTTGACAGAGGCAATTTAGATTTTTTTTTTTTAAACCTTCACTAGATCATCCTGGACACCTACCCCACACACTTTACTTTTATGAAAACTTATTTTGAGTCCTGACATCAACTTAAAGCATCTTAATATTCTTTTCATAGCAACAATTTCCTTCTAATTAGTTTCACAAAATATAATAGTATTATTAGCAAACTGAATGTGTGATAGTTTCAGGTTCTCCAATTAGGCCCACTTCTTTTGCTCTTTCCATTAGAATATTAAGTCCCTCTGTTACAATGTTAAAGAGGAAAGGTGAAAATGGGTCACCTTGCCTAAGGCCTTTCATTGGAGAAAACTCTAATGTAGGTGATCTATTCACTAGCACTGGTATTCTAGCTGTAGAAGTACAAGTCTTCCTCACCCATTTCTTATCAAAACCAAAGTAGGTCATCATCGAATACAAGAACTCCTAGTTTACTGAGTCGTATGCCTTTTCAAAGTCCAACTTTAGGATGATTCTTTTCTTTTTTGATGTTCTCCACCAATCCACCACCTTATTAGCAATTAGTACCCCATCTAAAATATATCTTCCACTTAGAAATGCTGTTTGTACTTCACTAATGATCTTGGGTAAAACCTGCCTCAACCTTCTTGATAAGACTTTGGCTATTATTTTGTACATTGAGCTAACCAAACTGATTGGCCTATAGTCACTCAACCTCATAGGATTTTCCTTCTTGGGAATTAAGGTAATAAAGGAACTACTCATTCCTTTGGCTAACTTACCATTAGAGTGGAACTCATTCATCATTTGCACAATCTCCCCTTTCATGATGTCCCAGCATTTTTGAATACATTTTAGATTAAAACCATTCGGCCCTGGAGCTTTGTTACCTTCATAGTCTTTAACAGCTTTCCAAATTTCATCCTCTAGAAACTTTGCCTCCAGCAATTCAGTTGATTCAGTATGACTAATTGAGGCAAAAACACTTGACAACTTTGGTCTACACCTCCTTCCTTCAGCAAACACCTGACTGAAATGATTTACCACTACCTATTTAATCATTCCAGGCTGATCATGAAGAACTCCATTCTCATTAATTGAGTTCAATAAGTTTTTCCTTTGCCTTTTACTTGCCATTATATGAAAGAACCTGGTATTTTTATCCCCATTTTCAGCCCAGCCCATACCATTCTAAACAACCATTCCTTCTTCTTGCTCAAATCCCAAGCTAAACTTCTAACCTCTGCCCTTCTTTTAATCTCAGAATCTTGTAGAATCCTTTCTGCAACTTTAAGTCCCATTCATGAAGTTCATCCTCTGATTTTTTCAACCGCTCATCAATGTTTCCAAAAACTTCTCAATTCCACATTCTCAGATGTGCTCTCAGTTTTCCTAGCTTTTTCAATAACCTGTAGCTGGCCCAACCACTAAACTGTGATCCTTCTCAACATTTCTTTACTTCTGCTTTGAATTTAGGATGCAAGCACCACGCATTGATGAATCTAAATGGTTTTGGGCCCCAATCCCTCTCATCTTCCGTAAGAAGTATTGGGTAGTGATTAGAAACGCTTCTTGGCAGCCCTCACTGTTTAAACTTGAATACTTCCAACTACCTAGGATCGATTAGGAATCTATAAATCCTACTCCATCTATCTCCATCCATCGGATTACACCAAGTGAAAGTTCTATCTAACATTGGTATATCTATCAACTTTTGATTTTCAATCAATTCATTAAAGTCCTTCATCATTCTTTCCTTTCAAGAGCACCATTTTCTTTCACTCATGAATCTTATTTCATTAAAGTCCCCTACTATACACCATGGACTTGAAAGTAAGGGTTTAAGCTTAGCTAAGGACTACCATATATGTCTTCTTTTCAAAACTTCATTGGGTGCATATGCATTTATGATAACACAACTAAAAGAATGATGCGCCATACCTGATAATAGTATGAAGTTTCTGTTACTACAACACTTAGCTCAAAAATTTGTGGATTCCACATGCATAGCATACCACTGTAGATGCACTCCCGAGAACTCCTCGACATCCGCGCGTGCGGCGAGAATCTCGTTTTGTTCTCTGAGCTACTACAGTTCGGACTCAAATGTCACGGTTCTGAATCTAATCTTACAATGTGCGATGTAAGACCGATAAATCACCAAAGAGTTCAAATCCGAAAAATTGTTTTGGAAAACTGATTTTTATAAAGAAGTGCCAAACATGGACTGCTTTGCCAGATATAGAGTCGCCACCTAAATATTTTATTTTGAGAGAATTTAGGAAATCTTGACTCGTGCCTAAGGCCACGTGTTCGTCATCACCAAAGTTACCTCAGCTTGGGAACTTGGGTACGAGAGGGGAAGGTCATGTAATGAGCACCCCCGCTCGCCTGATCAAAGATCGGCCTGTACTAAACATGATATTTTATTTTTGAAAACACATTTGTTTTTATTCCGGTTAATTTGCTAGAATTACTATGTGATGCGCACAGTATACAAGTATAGACTAGATCGCCTAATTTGGAACAAAACATTGCATATCCGTTTGTTTGGAAATGGTTTGAAGTTTGCTACTTGCAAGTAGGCTAAATCGAGGATTTCAATGAATTATTCCAATTCAAGCAATCCAACCTTCACACACAGGCATTCAGGCAGTTATAGCAAATAAACAATTAGCCTCATGGTAAGCATGCTTTCATGGTAATCGATAACACACTTACAGTATGCTAAAGCGTAAACACTCACAGTGTACTCCGAGCCAAAACAAGGAACTAGTTAGAAATCATGCATGATCCTAGTTCATGTTAAGATGGTTAATGCAACACATGCGAAAATGCAACTAAGATAGGCTTTGCTATCCTAAGAGTGTCATGTGAAATGCAACTTGGTACATGTATTCAAAT